TTTGAGAGACTCATCTAAAACTATTCATGGACATGCTCTAAGAATCTACATACAATGTATCCAATAATTAGGGTAGATATCTACAAGTTAGGCTTGTTGATTGTCGTGCACCGTTTCATAATAAGTGTCGTTTTTAGTTTTTTTGATTTTTCACACATTAAATTAAACTATCAAGATACTATTTATTCATACACTATATACATATAATATTACTCCTCTAAAGTAAAAACTTAAGTAGTAGGCTTTGGCTACGGAATGAAACAATATAAAATAATAAATAATTGAGTTACAAAACGACATTTATTATGAAACCAGTATAAACTTTGGTTCATTGATTTTGAAAAACGTGTCTCACCAAGAGAATTTGGAGCACTCTCAAAGAACTGTTAAAAGTTTTGTTCTACCCATCAGTCTTAATGAAAGATAGAAAACAACATAAGGAACAGCAACTCAGATTATCTAAACATGAAGTCAAGAAACAAGCTCAAGAAAATCAGTGGCATTTACTAGTGGAACTTATGACTAGGTTTTTTTTTCTCTATCATTGGATTTTTTCACTGGAAAGAAGCAATTAAAAAAAAAAACTTTCAGTACGACAATGAAATGTCAAAATCAGAATCTCTAGCGCAAAAGTTTTTGCTTTCATAGACCCATTTTCTTTCTGACAGAGAAGAAGATAATAATACAAGTTTACATAAAGTTACAAAAGAAAAGTATTGACACACCAAAAGATCCCACCCACTCCTTTGTCCTTAATTAACACCCACACTACTAAAACATAACTAATGAACGAAACTAAATGGCACAAAGTTGTACCAAGGTCATAAATCAATCTAAAGCATGTCTTTTCTATTTCCCAAGGTTTTACCAAAGCCCAAAGAAAAGCAAGATAATGAAATCCATGGGGTATCTTGTAAACCTAAACCAAAACCAACATAAGTACACAACCATAGAAGGAAAATGGCAATAAATATGAAATAACTGGCTGAATCAATCAATTTTTTCTCCAAAACTAGGGTTTTTTTCTGACTAATACACCTTAGGTTTCTCTAACCAGATTTATAAAGCTCCTAGTTTCAGCTACAACTTATGGTTCTCGTTTATTGTTCCTCTACCCTATAATAATATTTTTCTTAAAGTAAAATAAACGGAGCATTTGTCAGAAGGTTTCCATAATTCCCATAAACTGGTCACTGAAAGGAAAGTTCTGGTGAGAGATTTTCAAATCTACTCGATTTGTAAGGTGAAGTTAGCGCAAAGATTTTCAAGGACACACACAGATCGAGTAA